ATTTTCTTTCACAAGTAAAACCAGCCTTTCGTGCTTGTGTTTAGTATTCACGATGTTAGAACTGCATGAAATTAATAAAAATTTTTTAAAATTAGTGTCTAGCCGCCAAAATGTAAGAAAACATACACAAAATCATAAATTTTTCACAATTTTCTAAGACTTCGCTACACCATCGAAAGCAAAATTCTGTTCGACAGAAAATTCGATACTCAACGAAAATTTCGACACGCTTGCATAGCTCATAATACGAATTTCACTTTCGATCTTCGATCTTCAATAGCCAGCGAAGATCGAAAATCGCATGCAGCTCATAATAAGGGCCATTTTGTATATCCGCTTCTATATGTACATAAAGATCACATGCATAATATGTATGTAGCTACATGTATAAATATATAAATGTATTTAGTTTGTCGCATTAGGTGAACCGATAACTGTAATTGTTGGTTGTAAATTAATAGAAGTACCAATTATGTACGTACAAAGCACTTAAGTATTTGAATGCCTAGCATTTCTTCTTATACATATGTGCAGGAGTATGAATATAAATTCCGCAAGAAAATAAACTGTTCTACTTTGAAACCTCTTCTTGAAACCTAAAGTCATAGCGCGTAGTCGCATCGTTTTATTTTCCATTTGTTGGCAAAAAGGCTTGCCAGCTCAAAACAGATGGTGTGTGTCGATTTGCTTATCTAGTGTCTTCTCCAGGATTTCACGTACTGTGAAAATCTGGTCAATGGTGCACTTACCAGGTCTGAAGCCACACTGATAAGGTCCAATCAGCTGGTTCGCGAACGGCTTCAGTCTTTCATCGTCGACAGCATCTTGTATGCAATATTAAGAAGGCTTATTCCGCGATAATTGGCGCAAACGGCGGAATCTCCCTTCTTGTGGATTGGGCAAAATACATTGAGATTCTAGTCTTCGAGCATGTTTTTATCAGACCAAATTCTGCTTAAAAGCTGGTACATATGCCCCATCAACTCTTCGCGCCGGCTTTGAACAGCTCAGCCGGTATACCGTCGGCTCCGGGGGCCTTGTTGTTCTTAAGGCGCTTTGTTGCTGTTCTCTCCTCGTTTTGGTCGAGTTCCGGGACGTGAGCTTCGTCCCTACACTAGAGATGGGCAAAATATGTGATTTTCTACGTGACACGTAGTGTCACGCTTTTTCACGTGTGAGCGTGAGTGGTTTTGAGAGAAAAATCACGTAACTTCCGTGATCGTGCGTGACTGAAACTTTGGCTGACGTAAGCTTGCGTGAACTAGATTTTCCGTCAATCACGTAGTTTTCACATATGTAGCCCTAACCGCCAAAAAGATGTAAGCGACATTTTTTCACAATTTTCTTTTTGATGCAGAAATGTTCCTAGAGCATCTAGATTCATTTCTGCATCAAAAGTAAAAACTTAATAAAGTGTCGCTTACATCTCTTTGGCGTTTAGGGCTCGTGTGATGTATGTATACCAGAGTTGTGCGAAATGCATTAATTTTGTAATGCAGTAACGTACCATTAAGCAATAACGATAATGTAAAAAATTAATGCATTTATTTCATTTATAATATTTAAATTTAATGCAAATAAAAATTGCAATGCATTAATTTTGAAAATCTAATGCTTAGTAAAATATAAATGCATTAATTCTGAAGAATATAATGCTAGTGAAATTTGTTTTCATAAAAGTATCCAAACTAATGCTAACCAAGAATTTTAACGCATTAAAATTTTTAATGATTTGCATTATTAAAAGCCATGTAACTTTTCCAGGAAGGACTTTTAATAATTACCCTGTTATAGCCGCAAAAAAAGACATGGCCGGAGAAGACAGATTCACCCTATCTCGGGTATGGTTAGTTTTTTAAGCTTTCTGCACGCCTTCATACAACTTTTTATTTTGAAAATTTCACCTCCAATGGCAATTTTTCAGGTCTTATACCCTATTTTATGGTTTCTAACTTTTATCTGTTTGGTTTTATCGGCAAAATTTCTTTGGCAAAGTTGTTCAAAATGTCTCAGGCCTTAACTTTCGTGAACATACCAAATTCCAGAAAAGAGTCTTTGACACCTTTTGGTGGAAAATCCGAAATCAGGTGTATATAAATTAAACTGGAACACATAAACAAAAAATGTTGTGAACCGGATGGTATACCCCACTATTTCTAGTTTTTTTCGGTCGCTGAAAACGAATATGAAAGAAAAATAACTTCAACTAACCATTTGAAACCGGAAATGTCTACAAAAAATTAACTAGATCCCTCCCTCACTTCCTATAACCTTCTTACTACACCCTGAATGGGTTCTATTTTGAATTTTCATACAAAATTAAAATGTATGCGTATTTCCATGTTTTTGGGCCGCTGAAACCGAAAATGACTACATTATGGTTATATTCGGTTTAAACCGCTCCCACAGTGGTCTGAAATTCAAATTTAGGTGGACAAAACTATTTGCTCAAAGACGTTTTGACACAATTTGACATCACTGTAGTCCTATATGTTTTTGAGGTCACTGATTACAAATCTGAAGTCAGATTTTAATAATTCAAAATGGCGTATTCNGGTTCTATTTTGAATTTTCATACAAAATTAAAATGTATGCGTATTTCCATGTTTTTGGGCCGCTGAAACCGAAAATGACTACATTATGGTTATATTCGGATTAAACCGCTCCCACAGTGGTCTGAAGTTCAAATCTAGGTGGACAAAACTATTTGCTCAAAGACGTTTTGACACAATTTGACATCACTGTAGTCCTATATGTTTTTGAGGTCACTGATTACAAATCTGAAGTCAGATTTTAATAATTCAAAATGGCGTATTCAATATGGTGAATACAAAAATAAAAAATCTAGGCAATCAATCAATTTGAAGTTAGATTTCAAAATTCGAAATGGCGGGTCAAATATGGCGAAAAGAAAGATGAATAAATCAGTAAACTTTATTAAAACAGGGTATTTTGGGGTTTTTGAGATCGCTGATCCCGATTCTCGAATCTAAGTTTCCAATTTTGAAATGGCAATGGATTTGGACAGTCTCTTAAAGGAAGGTGAGTTTGGAAATGGTAATGTCAGGTAGTTAGTTTTGTATGGTTAAAGTAGAAAACATTTTATTGTGAATAAAATTTTATTTGTACAATCTTTCACACATTAAAAAGCAGAAAACAAAACATGTTTCGAATAGTCTAATTGGTAAGAAATTGTATCAATAATGAAGATTGGGCAGGAGGGTTGAAAGTGTTAATAAAGTTCGTCGTTGTCTTCTGTGGCAGCTTCACAAGTAAACGTAGAATTTCTTGCGGCAGTTATCATTAATTAACCACATATCCACTTAACTTTTTTTTTATTTATGGCCTTATTCATAAAAAATAAAGTAGTCTTATAAAAGGTTTATAAATTGAAAAATGTATGAAAACGTCAATTTATAAAGCTCTTTAAACTTACTTTATTTTTTAGGAATAAGGCCATTAGTCATTATTTTTGCTTACGAATAAAGTATTCTCAGCTTTACAACTTTATTTTTTATAGTAATTTTCGGTTTCAACGGTCGAAAAAACATAGGAGGACACAGACATCTCAACTTTGCATGAAAAATGGAATTTCAATCCCCAGGGGTAGCGGGAAATTGGTCAGTTCAAGTTATTTTTTTGGTCATAAACAACTAGAAATAGTGGGGTCTACCCTCTGGTTCAAAAACTTTTTGTGTTCTTCTGTGTAATAAGCATAAAAATGCTTTCGGATTTTCCACCTAAAACTTTCCAAGACCTACTTTCTGGAGTTTGGTATGTTCACAAAAAATAAGGCCTGAGACGTTCAAAACAACTTTGTGAAAAAAAATTTGGGCGAAAAAGCCAACGAGATAAAAGTTGGAAAAAATAAAATTGGGCATAACACCTGAAAAATTTCCATTGGAGCCTAAATTTTCAAAATAAAAAGGTTGTATGAAGGCTTGCAAAAAACTTAAAAAACTAATGATGTGCAAAATTTCAGATCGAGCACTTTTATTTGATCTACAATTTGTCTATGTACGATTTGTAGATCGCTGGGAATAAGCGCCTTGTTTTAAAATCTATCTATATATATAAAAATGGTGTGAAAGATGTATAGTAATTCATCAATTGAGAACGGTTGGGCAGATTTGGCTTACTTTTTTTTTAGTTATTCGTAATTGCCAGAAGAAGGTTTTTACGAAAGAAAATTTTGGGAAAACCCTCCGAGAAAGTCGGAAAATTGGAAAAATCGAAAATTGATTTTTTTGTATGGAATTTTGTGTGGATTTCCTTCGGAATGGCATTCGAATGGAAAAATAGATAATTGCAAGTGGAAAACTCGGAAAAATCCGGAAGAACGCGAAAAATTTTAATTTTTTCCGACGAAAGCGTGGAAAATTTCGGATAATTGTGAAATTCATTGGGAGCTTGAATCAATTGGGAACAATTTGCTCCTATGTTTCATAACCGATTCGAATGGGTGCTGCTTTTTTGGAAAGGTGTTTAGAAGAAAGAGTGCACAGAGTTTAAATTTTACCGATAGGTGGCGCAGGGATCGACCTACGTTAAAAAAATGTATTTGGTACATTGGTAGCCTTTTCCCTAGATTCGGATATAGGATCTATTTTTTTCGTTAAGTAGGCCAGGGACCGATCTATTCGAAAAAGTCTTATTTATGGTCCGATTTGCTTGAAATTTGGTAGCTTTTTGGCTGGGTTAACATATAAGATATTTTTTGTGATAGGTGGACCAGATACCGATCTTTTAAAAAAAATCTTATTTATGGTCCGATTTTCTTGAAATTCGATATCCGTATTATAGATATGCGTTGAATAGAATCGAGTCATTGTTTTACAGTTCGAAAGGTGTTTGAAGTCGGCGCAAACATGCGGGTATTGGCTATTTAACAATACTTATTACATAGGCCAACAAAAATGGGAAACAATTTGATGCAACAAATGTTAACGCTATTTTTGCCGAATTTTTGGGTACTGATTACGAATCCGTAAGCATAAGGTTTTCATCAGCTCCAGATTTTATGAAAAACGAGGTCAAAGTGTCAAAAAATCGCGTTTTTTCAATATTTGAGAAGCTCTAGCAAAGAAACAAAAAGCAATAGAACCCTTCACTTAGACCTAAATTAAAGCTAAAACTCTCGAATACTATCCTTGCAAATTCCTGCACCTTTGCTTGATGGTCACTTATAGTCATTTGTTGAACAGAAATAACTGATTTTGGGAAGTTTGAGTACCTACCGCAATTAAGCAAAAGGTGATAGAACCTTCCACTTAGGCTTAAATTAAGCCTTAGACTTCTGACTTCAATCCCTGAAAATACCATTCTTATACCTTGACCCCAAGGTCACCTATAGTCATTTATTGAACAGCTAACACTGATTTTTACACCTTTTTTCAATTGCATAATTTTTCAGTATTTTTTTTTTTATTATTGGACGGTAAAAAGTAAATGAGTATAGATGCCCATCAGGGCAAGGTGCAGGAATAGTACTTTCAAGGATAGTGGTCTGTAGTTCTAGCTTTAATTTAAGCCTAAGTGAAAGGTTCTATCACATTTTGCTTCATTACTAAAACTTCTCAAATATTTCAAAAAGCCCGATTTTTTCACCACAATTTTCTCAAATCTGGAGCTGATGAAAACTTTATAGTTACGGATTCATAACCAGCACAAAAAAGCCTATCAAACACAGCTTCAACATTTGCCGCATCAAAATCGGTGTTGCTCTGTGTTACCTACGCTAATTATATAAAGAGAAGCTGCTTATTTTTATAAGAGGTGATCTCGCGAACGCCTCCACCGATTTTTTTAAATTTTGGACACCTACTGCAGACTTTCGATATATTAAGGGAGCGTGGCATCACCCATACATACGGTGACCATATTTATGGCAGCCGAATACGGGACAAAAAATAATTTTGAACATTTTTTCCACAAAAACTTATTGATCTTAAAGCCTTCTTCAATAATCCTAGATGTATTAGCCTTGAAATAGCATCCTTGTAGTAACATCACAAATTTGTAGGAAATTTTCCCCGAGATTTTTACCCACAAAATTAAAAAGAACCCTTAAATTTAAGTACAATAAAGTGCGATTTTGAAGTCGCTAAGACTTACCGTTAATTTTTGACCTTTTTTTTTGTTGTTGACGATGTTGAGCATCTTTTTCATACAAAGTAGGTAAGTATGGCTGACTTCCAAAACGTCAATTGCTTTGCATACGTACAAAGTATAACATAACGTCGAACTACAAAATATTGACAATGTATACTGTTCCAAATCATAAGTTATCGAAACGCATCGCCCGAGCATACTTTGAACTGCTATCAAATTATAACTTAAGAAAGTTTTATTACATGGCAGTTGAGAAGTGCATTCATTAATTTAATGAAGGAAATTTTTGGACATGCAGCAGCACATAGCACGAATTTAGGCGCCTGGTGTTAGCAGTCGCTCTTAAACAGTATTATATGGGCTTTTTAGGAAAAGAGCTTTCTTTACTTTCATAAAGAATAATAAACGTTAAATAAACTAAGGAAAAATAGCCAAACTTCTATTTTGGCCACTGTATGTATTCCTCGAATCGAAACACAGGCATTCAGATCACTTAAAACTCGTTCATAGGCTGGCCTTTTTAATGAGATGTTAAGGCATCGAAACACCGAATACGGGACAAATACAGGACATTAAAAGAAATACAGAACATTTGGCGTCCCGTATAAAATAAATAAATTGCCAGGACAACGGGTCCAAAAAGAGGACTGTCCCGTATAATACAGGACGGATGGTCACCGTACCCATACATATCGAATTTTTCATACCGTATATCTCTGGAAGTATTTGCGGTAGTGTCCTGGAAATTGGTATAGAGATTTTGGGGCTACTGGAAAAGGGACGTGGCGCTTTCCGAACATATTGAAACTTTTACCTATCTGTATATATACACCCAGAATACAGTGTTTTTTTCATAATACATTTTTTCGTTATTTTTTTTTTATAGTTCATTTTGCATCAAATGGCACCAAATTGAGTATGCAGTTTTGTAGTTCACCCCGTTACCGTTATTTTCAGGGAATTTTTTTCGCTGATGATGTTGCGCATTTTCTCCGTATAACGAATGCATGATAGTTTTTTGTATGGGAAAAAACGCCGAAGAGTGTCAGTATGTAAAAGACTTATTCTGGTGGCTTAACTCCCCCTAAACGATTTTAATGATCTACTTACGTTTTTTTTGTATTCTTGAAAGGTGTACACACTTATGTATGTGTATATAACACTAGGTTAATCATTTAATTTGATCAGAATTAAGAGCACCACGTGGTGAATCCACTTGGTTACCTAACCTATCTCGACAATAGGATCACTCTTCTATTTACATATATATATGCATGCTCACATGCTCTCTTTCCATCACCTGAAATACATAATTTCCAATAATGAATTTTAAGAGATTGCAATTCGCCAAATGTTTAGATTTTTTCTTCTCTTACTACTTTTGATTATTTTTTGGAGTAAGCACATATTCTAACTCCCATTTATTGGGTTACTTTCGCTCTCGATACAACTACAGTATCGACCAAATAATGGAACAAGTTTTTTTTGTCAAGATATTTGAGGCTCAAATTTTTATGATTTTTTTTTTTGTTGAAGTTGTATTTTTTTTAATTACCGTAATTAAGTATCTACCTACATATTCATGTAAATGTGCAATGAAATTAAAGTTATAAAACAAGGGGAAAACGAGATTTCAGCAGCAGCAACAACAAAGCAAGGAGGCCTCTTCGCTTCGTGGGACTGCAATCAAAGTGAGTGAATTTTGGATATTATTTTATTCTATATTCGTAGGTTTAATTATTCCTATATGTATGTACATCTGCACATAGGTATGTGGGCTTGTAAGGAGTTCTAATTTCTGTTTGTAATCTACCCACACTATATTATGTACATGCATATAAGAATAAATATACTAGAAAGGGTTTAATAGACTTCATTTGCGAAGTATATACATATGTATGTACGTATGTATGCAAATTGTATAGAGTGCCTAAAGTTAGTTTATTTCTCATTCACAACTATGCGTACATATGTATGTACATAAATACGGATATTAGAGAATTTTTTTTTGCACTTAGATTTTTTTTTATTGTTTGCGAAATTTCTTATAAGCACATAGTATGTACGTTTACCTTCATGAGGCCTGGTGCATTATCTCTTATGTTCTCTGAGAACTCCAACAAATATACATACGTATACATATATATATTCACAAACCAGTTTTTTTGCAATTTTCTTTGACACATATTTGATTTTTATATACAACCTTGAGAGCATAGAAATATATTAGAGTAAATGTGGGTCAATGACCACATAGATACCTTTTGTTGAGGTAGGTCAGGATTTTAGTTTAAGATTACACCTAAGAAAAATATTAGTCGTAATGTTAATGAACTTGAATTGTTAGTTATGTTGATATGATACACATAAGGAAGTATTTGAATTGGAAATATATAGTTTATCTTACTTGCTACCTTTAACTACTTATTTAAGGACTTACATAGGAAATGAGTTGAATTTTATAATAAAAATTTTATAATGAATTGCTAAATTGTAAGCTTTTGGTCTGAATTCGAAGGAAGTGTAGGTGGTAATACGGGGCTTTATTAACACCAACAAAGCCATGGTAGGGTGGGTGCAGAGCAGCCGCAAACGTTTCACCAGGCGCTGCCAAAGGTGTAGGGGTTTGGGTAGCTGGAAGTAGGCCCAAGTTTGGTTTGAGGTATTTATTTAGCCCCAAGTGTGCAAACAAAAATTATCTTTGTTAGGGTTGTAGGCTGGGGAGAATGATGGTTGGTCAGCAGTTAAGTATTGACCCCCCCCAGGCTGAAGCTCCGGGAACCAGCCAGTGCACACGCCTTAGCTGTTGACGTCATCGCCAGCTCTTCTCGCCGATGCTTTTATTGGATATGTACAGCTCAGCCTTCCGTCCCATAACAGATAAATGGCGCCCAACGTGGGGCCCACATGATGACCTGTGGTTTACTTTGAGTAGCCAACACGATTTGTGGTCTCCATAATATTATTCCCTCTTGGAATATTTTTTTTTGTCGTTCTGATTTGATTTATTTTTGATGATTTTTTTTATAAAGTAACCTTTTTCTTGGAACTCAAATTTTAGAGCTAAAAGCGTAAAGATTTGACCATGTTACTCTTTTTGTTTGACTTTGCTAGTTTCCGGTATGGATGTTTTTAGGCAAATGCATTGTTGGAATTGCAACTCCTGAAGGCTAAATGTCTACAGAGTTGACCGCGGTTATATAGCATATCAACAGCTATTCAAAGTATTCATTTTTCGTTTTCAGACATGTGAGGAATTTTGTTTGCTGTGTGGTTGTTTGGAATTTTAAGTGATACTTAGCTAAATGCTAGTTGGCTAACCAGCAATCTAGTGGCATATATGCTTTCAAATTATCTGAAAACTTTTGTTTCTCAATTCCACTTCGAGATCTTTCATTTAAATGTAACGGAATTACTTAATTTTTTTTTCTTTGTGTAGTTTTCTCGGAATGTATGGCCAAAGAAATTAGACCATAACCGAATAGTTAGATTTTTATTTTTTTTGCCTTATACTGATACCTGCATCTAGTTGACCTTAAACCACCTACACCAATTAATACCACCACACGACCGGAGAATCAGACCATATTTTTGATGGTTTTCAGTTGCTTGATTTTGGATTTGATTTTTGATCTTTTGATCGAATTCGACTTTTTGTTTGAAATTTGTGATGTTGCTTTTTGGAAGACAAGTCGATTAAATGCTGCGAGATTTTTTTTTTAATTTTATTTTCTTTCTTAGATATTACTGGTAGTAAATTATATAATTTTATGAATATCTATTAATTTGTTTATCAATAAAAGCAATTTATATTGACTGATTCCATCCATAGTATAAAACACAAGTGAACTTTATTGGAATTCGCTTACCATTCCATATTTTATCTGGATTTAATTTTACCCTTTGTCAAAACCTTTTGGGTTTTTTTTTTTGTTTTGAATTTCTTGTGTTTTTGGTGCGAAAATGCCGCAGACAAATAGTAACGAACATCAGCAACCAGCTAGTTCGTGTTCTATTTGTAGGGAGGATTTTACGGAAAGTGCTGACGTCCTTCTAACGGCATGTTCTCACTGCTTCCATCGGTCATGCTTATTGAACTGGCTGAAGAAAAACCCGTCGTGTCCACAATGTCGTGCGAAATGTACCAGCCGTGACTTTCACCAAAATACGGGAACGCGTACTAGGGCTCAAAGCGCCCTGCGATCAGGCCTTGCAATGGCTGATATAAATTTAGAGGATTTTTCTTTGCCACAAAATACAGAACAAGAAGTTCAAGGTGCAGCGAGTTTGCCCATTGCGAATACGCAGGGAGCTAATAGTGTTTCGAAGGATGAAGAGAGTAGGATACGTAATATCGTCACTGCAGTTATTTCAGCGAGACAGGCTACAATTTTCGATAATTTGGAGAATCGCGTTTCTCAAATTTTAGCACAAAAACTCGACGGTATAGTTACCACCCTGGTAGACCGAATGAATTTAAACCCTCCACATTCTCAGCCAACACCCAATATTAGTCCCAATGCAAACGGCGCGCATCCTAGTAACCCGCGTAATGTGTCGACACCTGTCGGGCATAGGGATATACCAAACTTTACCAATAACTCTAATCAGAATTTCCACCATCAAATAGATCAGCTCCGTTTT